CCATTCGCTGGCACTCCATTCGCTCGCACTTGATTCGCTCGCACTCGATTCGCTCGCACTCGATTCGCTCGCACTCGATTCGCCCACACGCGATTCGCTCGCACGCGATTCGCCCGCACTCGATGCGCTCGCACGCGATTCTCTCGCACGCGATTCGCTCGCACGTGATTCGCTTGCACTCAATTCGTTCCCAGTCCATTCGCTCGCACTCGGTTCGCTCCCAGTCCATTCGCTCGCACACGATTCACTCGAACTCGATTCGCTTGCCCTATTTTGCAGGGCCTTCATTTGCTACGCCTCGATTTACTGGCCGTCAATTTGCTCGCTCTTGTTTCGCTCACTCGCCATTCACTCGCATTAGATACCTTTGCAAAAATGTTTTTAATTCGCGAAATTTCGCTACATCAAATGCGTGGGTTGTCATAAGACTGTGAAACACTTGAAAAAAGTTGAACATCTGTAATCTTAGAATATTCAGAAATTTTAGTGAAAAGTTGACCTGCCATAATAAAACATGTAAGAACAACTTTCATAAAGAAAATATAAGTGTCTTCAAAATTGCAGTTGTAGTAAGGTGCCAAAAAATATTTTCACTTTTCCAATTTTCAAAAACTGTATTTTTAATGAAATTTGGACCTACGCCATTTTTATAAACCGTTCCTTGCTCTTATAAAGGAAAAAAAAATCAACGAAAAATTTGGGGCCAGTTTTGTGAACATTTTGAAAATGTCGTTGAAACTTAAAATACCTCCCAACATTAAAATATACGACTGAAAATCATTTTCCCTCAATCATATTCCCTATATTAAGTATGTATCGTGATTTCTGACTACACAACGTATTAGCGACCAATTTACTACATATTGGTGTAAAAATTATAAACTTTTTCCGAATAAGGGACCCACAATCTGAATATTTCTGCCAAAATGGTGCCACTTTTCCCCTGCAGCATTGCAATACTTTCTGTACAGCAGCCTTTAAGTGAGTAAAACAATGAAGATATCTAAACTGCGTATGTGTAAGCACATCACAACTCTTTCCATAGTCTAAAACGCTTAATATTCAATTAAACTTTGAAGAACACCAGTAATAACCTGCCACATCTTTACACAATTTCACATTAAATTTCTACAAACTTGCGTGAGTCACTATTTATCATTACAACATACCATTAGTTTAACAATGTTATCTGACAAATATTTAGCAAAGGAAATTGCTTGGTAAATGAGTTTCCCGCGTCTGAAAACAACGCGGTGAATTTTATCGTGCGGGGCGGGGGCGGGGGCGGGGGCGGCGGGACCCCTCGATGAAGCGGCTGCGGGCAGGAAATGCAGTCGCGCCAGGGCGACCCCACACGCGGCGCTCTCGGCGCCCGGGTTACGAGACGTCACAAATGGCGTCCGCTGACGCCACGCATTCCGCCACCCTCGGCCACGCAACCTCTCATTTCCGCCGCGTGGCGGCGCCCCTCGCGGCGCCCCCAACCCCCGGCCCTGCGCCGAAGTACACGATTCACGCCGCTGCAACCCTCCCAGCGGCGATTCGCTCCGACTGGCACGACGCTCTCTCCACGTCGTCCCGTCTTATTGATTGCGATTGAACTTAGTGGCGTCCAAATCGGCTTATCTTCATAAAACACCTTTTTTATTCAGGAGTGGGCAATATCCACATTCAGCCTGTTATTTCAAGGTAGAATTCAATTATTTTGGGTACCGCCTGACATAAGAGAAACGACCTTTTTAACACAATATTGGACACCCTTGGAGGTGTGCGTTAATAATACGATTATATCGATACGTAAAACTACGAGTGGAAAACAATTGAAAATGCAGATGTTTTTTGGAAATAAGCTCCTAAATTGTTCTCGCCTCCCGTCTTGATTAAAGGGAGGCGAGGCTAGTCCTACTAATTTCAATTCCCTCGCCCCAGTTTATCTTGACACAATTCTGATGTCACCTTGTGTGATGAATTCCTCTCCCAGTCTTCGAGCCTTGCCAGTCCTGCGAACGTAAGCATAGCTACACTAGTTTCCTTCCCCGACCTCTTACTGTGGGCGTTATTTCACACGCCCCAATCAATCCTGCAACACGTTACCACTCTCCGATTCACAGAGCTTCCCATGTCAACCTTACCTTATACGTGTCTTGATCTATAACTCGTCCCAATTCACTCTTCTCGATTCACATTTCTGTTATACGCACATAAATCATTTTTCCTGTGCAGTTCATCCCCTGCAGCTCTATCGTGTAATACAAACTTCGGACCGGCGCCTCAGTACACAAGTTCAACCTTAGCTACATGCTACCCAGCTGCGAATCATCTCTCAGAACATACACCGAGGCTCACACGTCGCTCAGATGAAGAGTTCTGGAGTATCATCTAGGAGGACATGAAACCTCAGGAGAGCTGTGAGAGGAAGAGTTTAAATAAATACTAAATAAACAAAGGTAAGGAGAAGCGGTTGAAGATGTGCTGAAGGAAGAGATGCGGGTATGGGAAGTGGCGGGGGTTAGATAGAGAGACTGGTGGGAACAGGTGTTGCAGCAAGGTGTGGGACGCAGAGAATAGGTGCGAGGGAAGGGGAGAGAATGTCAAGATTTCATTTTAATTCATTGATGTTTCCGAGCGCATCATCTACTGTGATCATTACTCCAGTTAATGTTCCATTTCAAGAAATAGTGGTTTTCCTTCTCCGCTGAAAGTTGAGATGCGACTTCGATCTCCACGTCAGCTTTCCGGGGGTTTCCTCCAAGTATCTCCCCACAAAGGGCCACTGTCCCATCTGGGACAAGCTCTGATCTTCACAGTCCGCCAAAATGGGGGTGGTTTGGCTGACATTTGCGGTGGTTTAGCGCATGTAAGCGCGTGTGTATATATGTGAGTGGGGGGAGAGAACAGAGCAATGAAGAGGAAGAAAAAATCGTTGCCCGTTTGTTCGGGTATTACTCCGGCATTCGCATGGCGGTGTTTACAGAAACCACGAAAAAGAATCGATGAGAGCAGCCGGCTGCTAGGATTCTAAACCAGCCTACGTCTGAATTCGACCTAGTTAACTAGCCAACACCGCGGCCAAAGTCCATCACCGCTCCTTCGGGATTCGAACCGTACAACCTCCCTTCCAGAGCGCTGCAAAGACAACAGCAGCGCTGTGACTGAACTACGCCAGCCGCTGAAAGTCTAGAATATGAGTGCAAGGGGCGGGAGGGGGCGGGAAGAGCAAGCAGACGCCGCGCTGGTGCGACACGGGTGCGGGTGGCAGGGGACGAAAGCGCCTCGTATTGCTCCCTGTTCCTCACAAGACCCTCGCCTCCGAGCGCCCCGTCGCCTCGCCCCCGCCCCCGCCCGCGCGCCCGCCGCAGGGGATGTAGAACATAAGCACTCCCGGGCCGACAAGGCTCCCGCCTCGGGACCAATATTTCTGTCACTTGCGCTCGCCGCCCTCCCCTCCCACGATTTAAGAGAACCTGCTGTCGCAGGCGAGGGTTGTTTGTGGGGAGATTGCATGAAGTTGCTTGCTTATAAAAAGAAAATACACACCAAAATAATAATGTGAATTTACTAATTTAATATTGCTTGACATTAATATGTGGGTTTATTTTTTGAAATTAGCACAACCTTAACAATGTTCTACTTACTATAAAATGGTTTCGTAACAAAAGGAATAATTCTAAACACACTCAGTGAAAAACATTTTAATTATTCAGAATACTGAACGTCTTTACGTGAAAAATGTTTCAATTTATATAATCTCAATTTGAACGTTTTTTATCTCAAGAAATGGGCCTATTTAATCATTACTCTAATTACTACATCACATATCATTCTCGCTATCCAAATAATGAAAATCAATTTCCATCTTGTTCTAACAACCAACGATATTTCACGAAGGAACGAGACTTTCCACCAATTGCGGTAGCCGTAAAACATGCCCAAAGGAGGCCCGGGAATGAATAAGTGACTGCGTTCGTCCCTGGGACAGGGAGGCCATCGGTGTCGATAATGCGTCCTTCGGCCGCAGAGGTTGAGTGCAAATCGAAGAAATCACGTGTCTCGTCCGTCAGACGCAGCGTCGTTTATTCGACTCGGCGCTCAAAGCGGCGCCCCCCTAATGTCGTCCTCGCTTTGGAAACGCCGAAACTTGTGGGATTTTCAAGGGAGTGATCTTTCACCTGGCTGGAGTCCCTGGGTATAGAGAGTAGCGCATTCCATTGTTCCACCGATTCCGCCATTTTATATCCAGTAGTCACAAGAATTGGAAGTGAGTGGTATTCTGTTCGTTGAAAACGATGGATATATCCCACACTAATATCAATATTCATGAAAATCTACTTAATATCACCAATTGTTACAATTTACAGTCAGCGACTGAATATTGCCTGGCGGGCCTAACGGTTCAGGATACTAAATGGCGGCTGTATCTAGGGACCTGACTGCACAGCATTGCTCTCTTATAGACACAAAGTAAGTGTAAGTTTGGGGGCATATTGGAATCTTTCAGTTCTGCTATCACAAGAATCCTGAACGATTCCAAATGAAAAACAACTACCTGCAATATATCGTTTTTTTTCTAGTGTATCTTTTCAAATGTCTTCATTATTTCTATTGTACTCGAAGATTTCATATACAAAGCGCGTTACTATCATTTTAAAATATTTTGGGTGGAGCTGCAAACAAATTTTATTGTATTACATAATTTACTGTTTAACTTGCGCTTGGAATTTAAAAAATCAGAATTAATAAATAAGAATTATAAGAAAATATTATACCACCACAAATTTGAAAATATGCAATATTTCATATACTATTCCCATTGTCAAAATTGAAAATAAAAATTCAGAAAGTCAAAATTAATTGACGAGTCTGGGAAGAACGAAAATGTCATATGTGTAGTGTGAAGAATGCCAATGTTCTTTGAGTTCGGAGTAATATATTCCAAAAGTAGATCTTTTCAATCTTTTGTCACGAGGTCAACCGAATTAACGCAAATCTCGAGCACTTACCTCCGCGAACGACACACGTCAGCTTCATGGAGGAGCCTTCCGTGTAGGGCCCAGCGACCGACGGCAGTTCTCGACCGCGCTCGTCTATGATGGTGGGCATCTGTGGGGGCACTGCAACAAAAACATAATCGCAAATTCTTCATATTAATGTTATTATTATGTTAGTTATTATTAGTTAATGTTACTGTTAGTATTTTTATGGCGATGAGTTTGACCTGAGAAAATCGCTGCCCAGTTACAAACACGGACAAATAGAGAGAAGCTAGAAAAGCTAAAAAGAATCAACACCGCCCTGAAGTACTGCTAACGCGGGGTGAAACTATGCTGATTGAATAGGGCTTGTGAGTTTAGTGAGTAAGAGTCTCACAGTACTCGATGAGTGCGGATCCTCGTCGGGTCTACATGATGGATTCTCAGAGTGTCCCACGTAAAATAATAATAATAATAATAATAATAATAATAAT